TTAGCATGAAGAGCAGTTTAGAAATGGTCATAAATGAAAAATGATAATAATGATGGCAGCTTCCATTTCCTCGATGCTTCTTATGGACCAACCACATGCTAAGTTCATTTGTACTGATTAGGTCATTATTCTGTCTTGAAAATCTCAAGACAGATCTTCTGGGTAGGGACTATTTTTATCCCTGTTTAGTTGATGAGGAAGAAGTAGTTAGGTGTTAGAGCTGGGCTTTAAGCCCTAATTTGGCTAAATCGAAAGCCTCTTTAGTTATGAGGTTAAATCATTTCACTCGGAGCCCTGCTGCTGTTCACGTACTTAACGTCATAGAGCTGGAAGGAAACTTAGGCCATCTAATCACAGATTCAAACCGAGCTAAATCTCAAAGCCCTCGAGAATGCAGCCCAGATGTTCATTTTTTAAAAAAGAGAGAGGAAAAGTTACAGGGCTGGGACTACAACGTGAGACTCTTGCAGCCCAATCCAGTTTTTGCTCTCTTTCTTTGGTTGCCATGGACCAGAATGGACTCTCAGTTTATTTATCTTCTCAGATCATAATCTCCAGCCAATGTCTGCATGGTGACCCTCCAAAAGCAGCTACGTACTTAAGAGTTCACACAGTTTCTGACGCTCACCACAGTGAGTAGGCAATTGGAGAGTTCCAGTCCTAATGGAACAAAGAAAGCAGAGCAGTCTGGGAAATTGGAGTACCCTAGCTTTCTCCTCTGGGTCCGAAGATTGATTTGACTTAGCAAGTCCTCACATAAGTTGCATTTTTCAGCCCTAATTTAAACAGGCAGGGGTGACTGAAAATGTGTAAATGTTAAAATGTTGTTATTCAAAATCCCTTGAGATCCCCATGGATCATCATAGTAATTAAAATAGAGCACAGAAGACCCCTCGCTTGAGCAGCTCACAGAGTAAAAGGAAAATGAACACCCAGAATGAATAAAGATCGAAAGTGGGAAGGGCTGAGAATTAGCATGCTGGTATGTCCTATTCAGTAGAGCAGCTGGCCTTGGTGTACGGGGAGGGTAAGGAAGCAGTCCTCCTCATGTCCTGTTCCTCTTTGTTTCTCTCAGAGAAGGGCAGGTTGTGAGGAGTGCTGAAGGCAGTGTGGGTGGAGGGTTGTCAGCTGTGTAATTCTGAAGATAGGAGCACAGTAATTCCCAATCAGAAGGAAGGCGTCAGGCCTGAAGGGTTTTCTTTTGTGAGTCTGCAAGTCCCACACAAAGTTTGTGTCTCTGCTTTTTCTAATGGATTTCCACTTCTCTTTAAGCCTGTCAAGGCCTTCCGTATCCTTTAGTGCCCCGCTCAAAAGCCACCTCTTCTGAGAAGCCTCCTGGTTCACAGTAATCTGCTCACTGTGCCTTTGCCTTATACTTTTCTTAAAGCATCTGTTAATTTTTGCCTTGAATTCTAGTCATTTCTTTATATGCTCTTCTCTTCCAGTAGCTGCTAAGCCCATTGCGCAGATGCAATATCTTCATCTTTATGTCTCTTGAGTGCCCCCTGAAGGCAGGCATTTTGCACATGCTTCTTGAAAGTACCAGGGCTTGTCTCAGTTTTTCACTTCAGTTTTCTCACTATGTCCCTTCCTTCTGTCCAGAGTTGTAAGGATAATGAAGGCAACAGGTGTTTATACTTGTCATGTACATTGTCTTTGTTGTGAGGAGAAGTAATTGCTCTCATCTGTGAGCAAAATATGTTGTAATGGATCCTGTGTGGAGAATAACAATTGTTAACATCTGTTGAGATCTGGTATGTGCCATTTATGGTTCTAAATGCTTTACATGTATCATTTAATTCTCACATCGATTCTATGAAATAAGTACTACTAAGATCCTAAAATTATAGATGAGAATACTGGGCACAGAGAGTTAAGTAATCTGGCTCTTGATCAGTACATTATCAGTACATGGTTGTTAACTCCTTGTCCCTAAGAGACCTAATATTATCCTGACTTTGTAGAAAGAAGGTGCCATTGAGTAGATCTTTTCCTACCTGTTGATTTGCCAAGAAATCTAGCTTAGCTATGGATATAGTTTTCTATGAGAAAGAGAATACCACCTTATTAAGATCCTAAGGTTCTCAGATCAAGCTTTTCAAATAAAATACCAAAATGTCTTTCCTAGGGAATTGTCTGGGTAAGTCATGTAATTATAAGAATCCCTCTCTATGATTTCTTATACTTCATAAAATATTGGTGGATTATGGTTTCTCTGATGGAATTATGACCCTCAAAAATTCTTCCTCTTCACATATTTCCTTTTTCCATAACTGTCCATTCCTTCTTTGCCCACTTCCTTTCCCCGGCATTTGTCCGGCATTGAGCTCTTGGCATCAGTCTCTCTTTCTTCATTGATGGCTTGCATGAATGGGTGGCTGTTAAACAGGGCCTTCATTGTGGGCTCCCATAGTAGCAGGCAGAACATTCTCTGTGGCCTGGGTTCTGAGGTCCACCCAGGCAGTGCGAGCCAGGCCGGTTCCCAGTTCCAAACTGTGGTGCTTTTCTTTTGTTGTTGGATTCCCATCCCCACCCCCATCCCCCCAAAAAATGTTAAATAAGGAGCTAGAGGCTGATGCAAAGGCTAGAAGCCTTTGCTCCTATTGCCAGAGTCCTGTTTTTGTATTCAAATGCAGTCAGAGGGGACATTGCACCTTGAGCCAGGGTCTGTGGGAAGCTGACCATTAGAATATAGTCCTATAGGTAGCAAATCTTGCAGCCTGGTTACCTCTTCTCACCAACCTCTCCTAGGAAGTGCTGTGGTCTTGAACCACCATTAGATGGTCATGTATCATCCTCTCTGTGGCCCCACCTTGCAATACCACAGGACAGCTTTGTTGAAGCTGCCAGTGGTCATATGTGGCATTCATAGCCCTGAAGTCATGGTTTCCTGAGGCCTGAGTTAAGCTGTATGGAACTCTTATGTATACAGCATTTCTTCTTCCCTAGAGAAATAATTCAGATTGTTCAGAGCTCTGGACCTGACCTTCGAGGTATAGGGTTTGTGAGTTAGAGGTGTGAAAGTCCTGAAGCAGTCAAGTGTAAAGGAAGGAGGTGCCAGAGTTCATAATTCTGGGCTCCTGTGGGTATGTAATCAGAGCCAGAAAGTAGAGCTGACTGGCTGCCCCCCTTTGCAGCCCCTGCAGACTTGCCAAAAGCTGACAGACTGTGGAGACTGAACCATTCTTCTTGAGAGGATGGGGTGAATAGGACCATGTCCCTGCTCAGACCTCAGGGTGATATGCTCATTGTGACAGCTGGTTGTTGGGATTCTCCCTTAAAGGCTGTCTTGGAAGAACCAAAGTTGTGAGACACTAACAGGGGCAGTGGAGACTGTGTTTTAGTGCATCAGATTTATGAAGTTCATCCCTCTTCACCTGACCACCCCGTTCAGTTTTGGAACTGAGCTTCAAGAAGTGGTCTTGGGGCTGCAGGCAAGCTGATGAGGGCGAGTGGATGCTATGCAGGCACCCAGGAGAGGCACCCAGGCAGGGTTCTGCAGCACTCCCTGAGGGGAGAAGTTTGCTATCGCAGTATGGTGGAGACTTGGCTTCTCATCACTATCATACCATAAAAGGGATTTTGAAAGACCATGCAGTCCAACCTACTTATTTTAGATACTGAAGCCCAGCAGGATAAGATCACTGCTAAGGCCACACAGCTAGAGAGAAGCACAGCCAGGAGAGCCAGGTGTTCAGATGCCTAGGTTAAAGCCTTCTCCCCTCCACCTTGGGCAAACCACCAAAGGCCTGGGGCCTTCAATTTCTCATCTGTAAAAATAGTTGAACTTGACCCTTTTGATTCTAAGGTTCTCTCATCTCCTGAACAGTTCTTGGGAGCTTTGGGTAGACTAGGGAATCTTTTGGTACAAGTACCATAAATTCCACTTACAAAGAAATAAAATTGCATATCAGCTTTGAGACGTAAGCTAGTACTGGATGCAGGGTTGTTACCTCTTCTGCTGATGTGGGTTGAAATCTCTAATGGGTCTGAGTTCATGCAGGGCGAGCCCCTTGGGTGTCCCAGTGTGAGACTGATGTTGGCCTCTGATTTGGTTAATTATTTATGCTACTCAGGGCAGAGGTATTTGATATCTTGGGTGAGTGTACAGTAGTAGTTGGCCTCATGAGCTAGTAGTGTCAGATTTCTGGGATGTTAGGGAGGTCTTGGGAGAACTGCAAATGTCTCTTGGCATTGACAAATTAGACCATTTTGTTTTTAGTGGATCAACTAAGGTTAAACTTAAACAAATAGGAGCAGCTGGGAGGCTTTGGAAGCAGTGAGATGTGCACATTCTCAAAAAAAAAGAAAAGCCTGTACTCCCTGCGGAAGGAAGGATGAGGCGTGGAGCTCTGAATAGCCCCCCTCTGAGGAAGGAAGCAGTCATTTCTCTGCTGTTTTGTTTTGCACTTTCAGTTAAGGAATTCCAGAAGTTGCAGGTTGTAGATCATGACCTCCATTTTTTTCCCCCTCTGTTGCTGCTTGCCAGAGGAAGGGAGGGCGGGTGGCTCTAAATAACACTTTGGCCTTTATGGAAATGTATCAGATGTTCCAGGAGTGAGTCTCGCCTTGCTCATGCTTGCTTGCTGGCGCGCTCTTTCTCTCTCACTTTTACTCGTTGTTCACTCACTCTCTCCTTACTTGTGTCCTTTCTGTAGGATATAGTTAGCACTTCTCGCCTTATATAGCAAGGTCCTGTCGTTAATGTTAACAGAAATCTAACAACAAGGGAAGGCTGCCAGATAGCATTAATCAGGCCAGTGTTTGGAATTTCATAAATGCTCTGACTTTGGGTACAAACTGAACATTAAGAACAATACAAAACTGTTTTCTTCCTTCCTCTCTTTTCTCTCCCTCTGCCCTCTCCCCAGCCCATCCAGCTTCTTGCTCTTTCTCTCTGTTTTTGAATTCCTCTGCTCTGCCGTATACTCACTACATTGGAACTTTGTTGATTTTTGCCACGTTTAATTTTTTATTTCTCTCTCTCCGTCCACTCCAAGACCACAGGCGGAGCAGCAGCAGCCGGAGCCAGGACTCTGCGGAGGGGCAGGACGGGCAGGTCCCAGAGCAGTTCTCAGGTCTCCTCCACGGCTCCTCCCCGGTGTGCGAGGTGGGGCAGGACCCTTTCCAGCTGCTCTCCGCCACTGGCCAGAGCCATCCAGAAGGGTCCCCCACGCAGGGCGCCTGCCACGAGGCCAGCATGCAGCTGGAGGAGACGGGTGTGCGTGCTCCCGGAGGCTCCCCGCCCAATGTCCTGGACCAGAGTGAGAGAGTGGGCTACCCAGCAGGCCTGCCCACCACCAACAGCCAATCGCACCCCGAAACTTTGACTCACACAGCATCTCCACACCCTGGTGGTGCCGAGGAAGAAGGAGACCGGAGTGGGGCCAGAAGCCGAGTCCCTCCCACCAGCAAACCCAAAGCTGAACTCAAACTCAGCCGCAGCTTGTCCAAGTCTGACTCTGATCTCCTGACCTGCTCACCCACGGAGGACGCTACAATGGGGAGCCGGAGTGAGTCCTTGTCCAACTGCAGCATCGGGAAGAAGAGGCTGGAGAAGTCACCCTCCTTTGCCTCGGAGTGGGATGAGGTAAGGCTGCATGACGTCACAGAGAGCTGGGCTGGCCGCAGCCCACCACAGCTCCCCTGTGCGCGGCTCCCAGGACCAGGATGTGGGCCAGGGTTGCCCTGGTTCCTTGGCACTGTGGCCAGTGTGATTCTGACAGCCGTGAGGGAGGCAAGCCTCAAGTAGCCAGGGCAGGGGATCTTCCTGCCTGAATCGCAGAGAGCAGATCTATTCACGTTTAAATTGAAGGGTGGAGGCCCCAACACAGCAGGACTCAGGGAAAGGCAGTTCCTAAAAATGACATGTAGTTTGGAAATGTTTGGATTCCTTTGGCCCCACCGAGGGAGCTGTGCTCACCCTGAAGATGCTTAAGAAGAACTATAGAGTCCTTCCTGTGAGTCTTCAGAGGAAGAGCAGAGGTCCAGGGTTAGCTAGGAGAGCGGATAGAGAGCCTGGGCTTTCGGAGAAACTGATGAAAGGGGATCAGAGGGGGCTTTTCTCTGCCTCGCTCCTCCATGATTATTCTCAGTATTCCCTGGAAGACCAGATGCCTCTTCCAGCAGAAGCGTCCTGCTCATCCCACATTCCCAGGTTGGCAAGGCAGAGGGCTGGCTACGTGGTTCAGGAAACAGATTAGTGAGGAGAAAACATTCAGAGTCTGAGGCCCAGGTTCCTTTCATAACCATTGTTATAGAATAATTGGAAATATGTACCCGAATATTTTTCAGTGACCTGTGACATGTCTTACTGGGCAGAAGAATGTTTCTGAAAGATTGCTAAACACCCAGGGAATGTTAAAGTGCTACCCTTGCAGGCTTCTTGCCGGGAGGAAGCTGCCTTTGAAGTGGACTGAGTCTGTCTCCCAGGAACATTTTCAAGAGATGAATTTAGCTCTCCAAGAGGAGGGGAACAGTACAGCTGACATGTCCATTGGAACAATCTGTAGACTAAATGCCCTACCCAATTCTATTCCGGTTGCGGCTACAAAGTTATGTAAACCAAAGCTAATCCCATTCCCAGTGTGGGAACTGGGTGGGGGCAATTCCTACAGCACTCTTATCTCTAGATAAGATGAGGTTTAGCACTGTTTTGTCAAGAATCCTGTGCAGTAGAAGATTTTTACTGTTTAGTAAACCAAGATTTGGTGAGCCTGTGCTAGATGCTAGGCCACTTCAGGAAAATCGGTCTGAGTGAGAGAACTCCTGGTCCCTAGGAGATTACACACAAGAGTATATGTGCATGTAGGAATGTATCCTCTACCTTTGTTTTTCATAATAATTTTACTCAATTACAGTATAGAATAAGGCAGTTTAAGAGAAAGATAAGTCCAATATGCTCTGAAATGGCAGGACAGGTGAATAGATAGAAAAACATCCCTGGGAGGGGGGTAGGTAGAGACAAGAGGTATGAGAGGGGTAGAAAGGGGCTTCAGGAAAGATCACAGAAGTGGGATTTGACATGGAATTAAAGAACCAGGTGTTTGGTTAAAACCAGATTGAAGCTAGTAGAATAAAGAAAGGGCGTTGCAGGTAGAGATAATAGGGAAAGCTAAGGTCATTGGGTTTCTATAGAATGTATAGGGTTTATAGGAGAGAATAAGAAATAGGAGTAGAAAGTGAGATTAGGACCAGATGGTGAGAAGGCCTTGAACATGAGACTGAAAAGCAAGTATTCAATTTGATGTCAAGATTCTTTCTCTCAGAGTCTTTCAAATGGACAGGAAGACAGCTTCACCAATCTAATGAATTACCCCTTTTTTTGACTCCATCTCTTGCGCATACGCTCTCCCCAAGAAGTCAACAGTGCTGGGTGATTCTCCACAGAATATTCATGCTCTGTTAATGTGTAGCATTGCCAGGCAGGTTTATGGGATCCACCATTTCCTCCTAGATAAGAAACGTGAAATCACTGAGGCACAGCCCAGCGTAATTGAAGTTGGCTGTTTAGGCTAATAAACCAGTGTCTCTTGGCATCTTAACGAGAGGAGGTTCATATGCTGATGTTTCCTTTTCAGACAGGGATTGCAATTGGGTGTAGTGAGCCCAGGGACTATTCAAGGTCTAGGTGTTCTGGCCCAGTCTGTAGTGTGGCCCAGAAGCACTGTTACATTTTAAATTTGAAAAAACTAGAGGCAATTGAGGTCTTATTGGAAAGAATTCAGAAGCTTGAGCTTTGCTTGCATAGTAAACATTAACAGAGCCCTTTATGTGTAACCTTTCAACATTGTTTTTGAGTCATATTATACTTGGTTTTTGTCAATATCTCTATCTAAAGAGAAACTTCAGAACTGTTTGCCTAGTAGTTGGCCCTAAACCCAGGGCTTTGGCAGACACTCTTAGAACAGCGCATTAGTTAATGGCTACTCCCCATTCTACCCCTGATCAGTACCTGAAAGCTGCTTTGCCGTATCTTGTGTATCTTGTGCCTGAAGATTTTTTTCTTTGTCATTATTAGATCCCTAGGCAGTGGGGACACTGCTCTGAAGGAGCTTGGGCCCAGCTCAGCTCTTTGCTGTGGGGCCTGGAAGGCAGAGGGGCCTGGGAGGCAGAGAAAGGCTCTGGGGGCCCAGGCAACTGTGATCCCAGCACATGATGAGTTGTGCATGTGTGTTGGCCAGACCACTCCCAGAAGGCAGTGCAAGATAGTACACAAGGCTCAGGCCCCAGAGTCAGCAGATCCAGCTCTGAGCCCCAGCTCCACCAACTCCACCTTGATGTGTGGATGGCTTCAGGAAGCCTCAGTGTTATTACCCCTGTTTGTGAAATAAAGGCAGTCAAATCTATGTTTCAGAGTTGTTTTTACCAATTAGACGTATTTAAGTGCCTCCTAGCACAATATGTAAAACATATTGCAGGAATGGTAGATTTTTACTGTGCCTGGAGCTTTGGAGAATGAGAAATGAAGTCCGGAGTGTCTTCAGAGCTTAAGAAAGGCAGAGCTTTCAGGCCTGTCCTGTGGCAGTAGAGTTCAAGCCCTTGAACCAGTGACTCTGCCCCACTCTAGATCCGGAAGAGTCCGCCCAGCATGGGAAAGTAGGGCAGGCACCCCCCCACTGTTATTTGAGAAATTAATGAGCCTTCCTGCATAACTCTCTAAGACAGTTTAGAGAGAAATCTGCAGTCCTCTCTGCTGTTTATTTTTCAAACGTAAAAATAGTCCCCCTACTTCTCCATGGGGGATATCTTCCAAGACTCCCAGTAGATACCTGCAACCATGGATGGTACTGACCCCTACATATACTATGTGTTTTCCTGTATGTACACACCTATGGTAAAGTATAATTTATAAATTAGGCACAGAAAGAGATTAACAATGAAAGTAATAAAATAGAACAATTATATTGCAGTAAAAGTTATATGAAGTGGTATCTCTCAAAGTATCTTCTTGTACTGTACTCACCTTCTCACTTAAAGGAAACACTTTCCGGCTTCTCTTTGGCACGTCCGAATTGCCAACATCACTGCTCTTGCGCTTTGGGGTCATTATTAAGTAAAATAAGGGTTACTGAACATAAGCACTGTGATTCCATGAAAGTCAATCTGATAACCAAGACGGCTACCAAATGAGTAACAAGCGGGTAGCACATACAGCATGGATACATGGGGCGAATAGATGCTTCACATCCTTGGCAGGATGGCACAAGATTTCACCATGCTACTCAAAACAGCATGCAATTTAAAACTTGTAACTCTTTTATTTCTGGAATTTTTCATTTAATATCTTTGGACTGCGGTTGACCGTGGGTAATTGAAACCGCAGAAAACAAAACTGGGCATAAGGGGAAATACTGTAATGACCAGCAGTGGCTACTTGATTGGTCAGTTGCTTGGGATGACGTTTTATAGTTGAGAAACATGCACAGCTAATGGCTTAGGAGTCACTTTCTCTAAATACAGACTGCTCCTTAAAGCTGGTTAATGCAGCCCTTGTTGAAGTGCCCCAGACAAGACGACTTCTGAAAGTTAGCCTGGTTAAGGTAAACCTCTGAAATGATATCCATTAGTGACACTCATTCTCCCTGTTTTCTGTTATATCTTTGGTAACAAAGAAGTAATAGACTTTGCTTTTAAAAGAGATCAGCCTAAGAGGAGATCTAGATGCAAGCTTCAGTAGATACTTTCTGTATTCTCCAGTCAAGTCAAAGCACTCTCTGTTGGCTTAATGATCTCTGGGGCATAATAGAAGTTAAACTGAGAAGCTGTACAAAATAAAACTTTAAAAATATAGAGATAAGGAATGGGAAAATCACCTCTCTCTAGAAATAGTTAACCTCTGTTAACATTTGATGTGTATCCAAATTTGGGGTCTAATATTAATATTTGCCAATTTATAATTGACTTTTCTTCCCAAATTGCTACCCTGTGGGATATGTTACCATGGCAGTGTCAATAAGATTTGGATTCAGATTTTCATTCTAAAAGGCGTAATATTCTGTTATATGTCTATGTTACAAGGTTGTTGCTTGAACTAGTTTCTAATTGTTAGATACTGTGCAGGGCATTTTCCATCTCCTTCAGATGCATTCCCTACCCTTCCCTACCTGCCTGTGTGCCTCAGGAGGCTGACCTGTAAGTACTGAATCAGTAGGCCAGGGAAATATAGCCTTGACTGTCCCCCTACTGAAGACCACCACTCCTGTGAGGGACCCTCTCCCAATAGCTGCTCTCTCTGGGTTCTGGTAACCAGTCCCTCCACTTGACCCTTCTGGCCTGGGGCTCCTGGCTGTGACTATCTCCTATCCCCTGCTGCTCTCCTTGTGCCGTACCCAAACATGGAAGTTGTCCCTTTCTTAAGCTCCTTCATTTGCCCAGTTTGAATATGCAGTCTTTTTCCTGTGGGAACTCTGAGTGATACAGACATTTTTAGCAGTTTGTATCAACTCTAGGCAAGCTAGATGGCTATGTGCTGGAGCAGTAAACATGGCTCTTGCATGTAAATTGTAAATTAATCTTCATTTGCCGGTGAATCAGAAGGTGTAGATATTCAGGGTGCTGGGAAGCAGGAGAAATTAATCACTTAATTTG